CTTTGAACTTGTCAGACGGCGCAATATCTGTGTTAGCCAAGAAGATGTGCCAAAATGAATTTACTGATAAGAGGGGTCAACATGGCCACCAGAGAAAATTAGACGAAGAGACAGTTGCGCTTATCAAACAGCACATCGAGTCATTTCCAGCCGTCGAAAGCCATTACACTCAAGCAAAAAGTCAACGACTTTATCTTGCCTCCGACTTAACAATATCAAAAATGTACGGTTTATTCAAAGAACTCCACTCGGACGCTATCATTAAAGAAAACATTTATCGCCGGATATTTTGCATGAATTATAATTATTCTTTCCACCGTCCAAAAACGGACACCTGCTTAACATGCGAGAGGCACAAAAACGCTGAGGACTGTATTACAGTCGAAAGTTCACAAAACAGAAACAGGTTCATTGCTACACTATTGATTTATATCAACAATACCTTGAAGCTTAATTCGATAACAATTAAGTACCTTTGATGCACTCTGCAATAGAACGTGCGTAAAGAAGTATATACGTTTATTCGCCGGCAGAATGGCCAACTATAATGAGACTGGCAAGACGGAAAAACCCATATGCTGTAGAGAGGCTTCAATACAGTGATATGATTGATCTCAAAGCCATGTTTTCGAGTTTAAGACATAGCCTTAAGAAAAATATAAAAAATGAATCGGTAAATTGGCTTAATGTTAAATTACTCCAAGTGAACAAAATTCAACGAAAACAGTTATTATACAATTAGGAATGGGATGGAGACTTAAAGGTAACTGATATTGGAGGAACGCGAAAAACAAAAAAGGTGTTCAACTTTTCGTTTACTGGCAAATACAATAAAGAGCTGCCAATTTGTAATGAATGAAGACGAATTTCTAGTTATTTTTGATTTACGCAATGTATACCTTCATTTGTCATCATTTTTTGTTTATAATAACCCAAATTGGAAAGTAATGAATAAATGCCACTGAATTAACAAAACTATGAATTAATTACTGTTTTATAATGTTACAAATTGATATTTTTGAGATGAAATATTTTAATAAAAATACCGTAAAATTATTGAATAAAACAGCGTATACCATACAAAATAAAATAATATATCAGATACATCATACGAATTCCTTAAAAAATAAAATGGCCTATATGGAGGATTTGCGCTTTGAATAACATAATTATGGTCTTAAAGGATGCGTAGAATAAAAAAACTTGGTAAATTTAAAGGCAAGAAACGGTATAATGTACTCATCGAAAAATCCACTATGAAGAATTTTTATTTACCGCGATATTGAGGTTTTAATAGACATCTGATTTGACAAAAACTTTAAACTCGACTTTCTCAGAACCCAAAAAAAATTATACGCTGTTGTTATATTGAGGGAACGGTTTATGGAACTTATTAGATTTCTAGATGGAAATAACATTGATGTAATGCTATTGTCAGAAACTCATCTTACAAAAAAAAAAAAATATTTCTTTATACCGGGATTATAGGAGACTTGGGTGGAAATTGGGCCCGAAGTGACGAGAAATAGGCTAATTGTTTTGCAAATAACCTAGAAAAGGTATTTCAACCTAATTTCCCAAAGAACATCTTTGACTTGTCCAGCTTCCCCAACACAGTTAACGAGTCACTCGAGTCTTTTAAGACTTCACCCTCTGAAATTATTAGAATAATAAAACAACTTAACCCAAAAACGTCACAAGGACATGATAATATTACCCAAAAATGCTAGTTGAGTTACCAAATATTGACGTAGAAGTGCTCACTTTGCCCTTCAATTCAATTCCTAATCTCGAATACTGTTCTAATTCACGGATAAAGTCGCAGATTATGTCAATAGATAAATCTGGGAAAGACTTAACACAGGCTTCTTCACCAATCAGTCTTCTACCCTGCCTTTCTAAATTATTTTAAAAAAAGGTCACTGTCAAAGATGACTCCTTTCCTCCATGAAAATAATATAAGACAATGCACCAATTCGGGTTTCGTGAAAAACGATACGATAGAGCAAGTAAATAGAATTTCTAACGAAATAAGAAAAGCATTTCAGTACAGAGGGTACCGTTCAGCAATATTTCTAGACGTGGCTCAAGCGTTTTCGCTGAGAGCAAAAATGTATCCGGCAGCAAAAATAAACAATATTTTTGTACCCCAAGCGAATGAAGTAACATATCTTGGTATTCACCTAGATAGAAGACCTACGTGGAGAAAACATATATCTAGTAAAATGACTTGCATAGAGATAAGAGCTGCAAATTTTATTTGGCTTTTAAATAAAAACTCCAAACTTAGCCTAGATAACATAGTGCTTCTTTATAATGCGATCATAAAGCCGATTTGGATGTATGGCATTAAACTATGGGGTAAGACTTGTGCAACTAATGTTGATATAATGCAAAGGTTCCAATCTAAAATGCTTAGATGCATGTGTAATAAAAAATATCCATAAAGACCTTAGTATTCCTATAACTCAGAATGGGATTAATACATTCGGATAAAGTGAACTAGAACAGAAATCATTATGTTTACGAAGACTCGCTAAAATAATGCTGTATTATCCTTACTGTGTAGTTAACGTTTCGGATATTTTTAGCTACTGTTACAGCTATTTACACAATGAATGATGAATAGCTATGAAGAACAGTTTTCATTTACGTACGAAAAGAAAAGCAAATCACTACCATACTCCAAAAGCTCGAAGTGGATTGATATCACCTGTAAATATAAGCATTAGGAAGCGTGATACACTTAGCATTTTTTAACATACTCTATTAGATAAATTACTTCTATGAAATAGATTCATTACCAAACAGCATATCATTTTTCTAAATAAGAACCTACTTAAAGTAAACATAAATATACGAAGCACGAAAGTTTGCATATAAATTTCTAAACATAAGCAATTTCTTCATTTTTACCATAAATAATTTCTCACACTCTCAGATATTTAAAAGTGTAAAATAGAATAATATAATTGAAGCCTTTTTATAATATAATTAATACTCTCCTCTTTTTGTTTTGTTCATCTAACGCCTGTACGTATCACCTAAAACTAACCGAGATAGATATAGGGTTGTATATACATATATAAATGAGCAGGGTGACGAGAAAAGTTGAAAACCGGTTTAATGCCTGTCCGCCCGTGCAAGCTGTAACTTCAGTAAAAATTGAGATATCTTGATTAAACTTGACATGCAGGTTTCCAAGTGCAAAAAAAAGTTCGAGTTCGTGGATGTAGCGTGAGAACAGTTCCATGCCCAGAAATCACCATTAACCGAAGAAAAATTAAGATATAAAGTCATATTTGGCATAAGGGATCGCAGTAGCCAGAGGCACCTGTGAGAAAATTTTGAAAAAGTGGGCGTTACCTCGCCTTTTAATAAGTTTATTGTATATATGTATGTATGYATCCTAAACCATTTAAGCAACAACAACCAAATTTGCTCAGCACACATATTATTAGAAGTCCTACCAATATTGTGAAAATGGAAATGGAATCGAAATCGGATGAAAACCGCGTTCTCTCCGAATATAACGGTACTGTTCAATACTACTAAAAACTCGATAAGTCAATAACTAAATGCGTCAGAGATGCAAACATTTGCCGCCAATATGGTGTGACACGGCTTTACAGGAACCGGGATCAAAATTGGACGATGGGAGTGGAACCGCCTACTTTTTGGTGACAGAACATATCTAGGAACCCGACCGCCTAATTTCGACTAAATTTAGTACACAGAATTCTTCTCATATCCCTATGTTACAGTGGGCGAAATTGGACTACGACCTCGTCTACTTTCAATGTAGCACAATTTTAAACTACATTTGATTCTTTCACGTCCCATCATACAAACCAAGAAGTAATTAATTTAACGGTATAAAACTTTGCATGAATAATGTCTTTAGTGTGTGCTACCTAATGACCAAAAACTCTTTAAATCCAATAAAAATCGTTCAAGCCCTTAAGTACCGAATATTTAGACCCCGTTACCTATAGTTGACTTTTAAAAGAAAATGTCTGTTAACGTGTGATATATATAACTGACTAATACTTCCCTTAGCCCCCATATAATTAATATAAAGAATTTAAAATTTCCGGGTGATATTGTACTGCATATATCGGCCAATATGTACATTATATCAATAAAAATAAGAGAGCGTATTTTATTCATAACAGTGTATCTTTACTTAAAATAAATAAATTTAGACGAGCAAATTCTATTTTATATATGGAATTCTACTATATATGGTACAATATGTCTCTTCCTAAAAGTCTCAAAGTTAACAATAACTTAATATCAAAATCTATGCTGAAGAATATTTATACTCTGTATTAATACCGGCAAGACACAAAGACAGAATTATTTTCTACGAATAACTTTCTATACTGCAGTTCATTAAATTCTTAAATTTGAAAATTAAAAATCTTTTAATGAATCGTAAAGACTTAAGCTTTAAGTATATTGTCAAACTCTTTGAAAATAAACATTGAGCTTAATTTTTACTGAAAACCTAATAATAATAAAATCTGTTTGAGAATGTTGTATACAATAATAATACGTTGGATATAAATACATATTTTTCATTACAAGTAAAAGAATCAATCTGAAGGACTTATCTGAGAAGATAAGAAATCTTCGAATAGAATATAAACTTGAGAGCACTGAGGTAAAAAATGTATGTACACTATACTATATAAGTTGATTTATTATATAATATATTTTACCCTTATTAAGGTAGTAATAGGAATAAGGATTAGTTTTATTTTTTTTTTTCTTAAGCTCCCAGGTATAAATAATACATGTATGCGTAACATTTTTGTAGGCGAGAGCAACTTTTAGCAAAGGAATATTGTGGTAACCACCATTTCAAATATTTTAACTTTATAAAGTAAAAATATTAAATTATAATAGTAATATACTATTTCACATGTGGAATATTTAATACCACTATTGTGCAAGCCTTATTGTAAAACATATATGTACATTGCTGTAGTGTTTACCTTGCGTGCCACATTTCAATCAATCCATGCGGATATTTTTAGCCATAGAACATAATACACACACTCTTTAAGGCAGAATTCCTACAAAGTAACAATCAACACTATTTTTTAATAGTTAAAACAATTAAAAAGCAAAATAAAACGAAATACTTTTCTTGTAGTAAATTGTTACCACAAATACGTGAAGCTTACATATTGTACTCGTTTCCATCAGCTATAACTTTCTGTTATTAAAAATGCAAATTTCTCCTATTAATTTTTTTCAATGTATTTCCAAACAACCACATTTACTTAGGTAACAACATATCGTAAGATTATATTTAAACATTTCAAAAATTTAACCACATCCAGATTATTAAACATTTAAAAAGTTCTATATATTTAATATAATTTTCACTGTGATCCGCAAAAGAACACAAACGATTAACTTGCGTATGAGTTGAAGCTCTTTGATTTTGAAATAATAGAGCGCGTGCTCTTACAGATACTATAACACTGTATCTGTACGTTAATTTACTTATATGTATATATTATTTTATTAAACAGGCATATGAATGTATGTTCATACGCTTGTGCACTCACATATACACATGCACAACGTATACTGAAAGAACAGCGATCGCAACTATATAAACAATCGGTACTAAATTACCGAATGCCAGATCTGCATTTTTGAGTTTCAAATCTTTTCGAAAGTGTTTCTTTTTTTGTTATTACTTAGTTGCTATTACCTTAAATTAAATAATTTCAGTGTTTGGAAACACTTGACTTAATATCTACTTCAATTTATTTTTATAAATTTTAAACGAAAAATAATTTCCATACAGATCTTGAAAGAATATTTTACTATAATACGTTATAGTTGTTGAAGAAACTAATAAATATATAAATATATCTCTTATAACAGTTTTGTCATGTGTTTAATAACTGAAATGTAATCCCTTATAACACTTTTGCAAAACTCTTTTTGTATTCTTTGAGACAAGATATTGAACTAGTACTTTTTTATTTCGACAGAATATGAAAAATTTTTAGCTTATGAATTTTGAAAATTTCAACTCTCGATAAAATAACTTTAATAGTTTGCGTATATGAGGAAAATTATTTTATTAAAAAATGTTTACAACTTTTTAGAATAGGGTTTTTTTTGAACTATTCACATATTAAAAAAATATTCACTGAGTTTCATTAAAGTACCTTACATACAATCACCAACCACATGGAGTAAACACAGACAAATTTTCGAAAATCCTGATGTTAGTTATATAGGAAGGTCAAGTTTCTTCCAATTTTATTTATTTTATGCACAAAGATACACTGTTATGAGTACAGAATGCTTTGTAATTTGCATTAAAATATAAATAATATTGGTTAAAGCTGGTTTATACCTGTCTCTTATACACATCTAGATGTGTATAAGAGACAGATTTTGTTACATTAAGAAACTCAAATTATTTTTTTTTTTTCAGTTTATGGAATTCATTTTTCCTTTATTCATGTTAAAGCTCATTCAATTTTATTAAATATAGCTTAATTAGTTTTAAAAATAATGGAATTTAAATGCCTACCTGATCGTTGATGCATGTGCGGCATCTTACCAAAAAGTTCTTCATTACTGTTTGGAAAGTTGAGACAGGAATAGAAGCAATTGTTTCTCGAATGGATTGCCTTAGTTCATTCAAACTTGTTGGCTTTGCTTTGTAGACTTCCTGTTTGCAATAACCCCACAAGAAAAAGTCAGGTGCAGTAAGGTTAGGCGACCTGTGTGGTCAACGGAATGTTTAGTTTCTGGATATCAGCTTATTGGGAAATTTTGGTCGCAATTCTCTCATAACATGTACCATCTTGTTAAGACTACACAGAGTTGAAAGAAATTCTCATTCRGCGTAATTCTGTATAGAAAAACTCTCTCAACATGCTGACGTAACGGTCTCCAGTAACSSTAACGGTGTGACCGCTTTCTTCGAAAAAGTAGGGCTCGACAATGCAGCGTGATGAAACTGCACACCACACTGTGACACGAAGTGGATGCAATCCCGTCTCATGGAGTATCTGTGGGTTGGAAGCACTCCATATTCAACAATTTTGTTTGTTCATGTTGCCGTTTAAATCGAAATGGGCCTCGTCAGACATGAAAAGACAGTTCAACATGTTTCCATCCTCTTCCACCATCTGAAGCATCTTCTGGCAAAATTCCAAGCGAATCGGCAAGTCTGCAGCGTTCAGTTTGTTGGCCATTTGAATTTTATATGGGAATAAGTCCAAATCTTTGTGCATAATTGACCGTAATGACTGTCTGCTTACACCCATTTGAGCAGATAAGCTTCTTGTCGAAACACGTGGATTGTTTTGAATGGCAGCAACTACAGCAGCGATTGTTTCCTCCATTCGAACTCAAGGGTTTCGATGGTAAGGTCTTCTGTTGACTGTCCCATGCTCGGCAAAATTGCTTACAAGTATCATTATGGTCCATCTGCTCGGAGGATTGCCGCCAAAGGTGCGCCTCTTTGAACCGAAACTACGGACTCCAGTGCGTAATAGCGGCGGACAATCCAAATTCTTGTTTCAGTGTCCCAGTTATCCATTTTTGTTAAATGTAAAAGTCAATCTGCAAAATAAAAAAAAAATTATCAGATTCATTAAATAGAAAAAAAGTTAGTTAATTTTTTTGGTAGCGGCTTCCATCAGCCACCCTGTATATAAACGCAGAACCTGAAAATGTTGAACATATATATTATTATGTATGTAACTTGAAGTAGTGGATCATAGTCAATAAGACACCCTATTTCGAATTTTTTGATGATACGTTATTTTACTTTTCTGGTGACGATATGTATATTTATTTAACAACATTTAGCCAATTTGCATTTCATTTGTTTTTAGTCTATTTTGATCCTACTTTAGATGGAGGATGGAGTCATGTGTAGAAGTTCACGCAGGTGAGGAAAGTTCTCTGATCGCCATTCACATATGACTCAAGCAGCTCACGACTTCCGGTCCTTGACCAAGTATCCTCTGGGTAGCTTAAGAACATCCCTTTGAAAGCGAACTAAAGTGAGAAGGGAAAAATTCCCTGTATAGGGTTGTGCGCTGGAACCCGCCACGTAAAAAAATCAACCTAATGAAAACGCAACAACAGCCTCGGATGAGAGACCCCACTTTTGATGACGATAATGGCGAAACAAAATAAGGACTACGAATTGAAGGCATGCACCTGGAATGTCAGGTCCCTTAATTGGGAAGGTGCCGCTGCCCAGCTGGTTGACTCTACACTCTTACAGAAGATGGTATCTTCTCTATTTAGTTCTGCAGCTCGAACTACTTTCTCCAGAAGCAGGTTGAAAAAGTCGCACGATAAGGAATCGATTTGTCTGAAACCTCGTTTGGCATTGAACGGCTCGGATAGGTCCTTCCCGATTCTGACGGAGCTTTTGGTGTTGCTCAACGGCATAAAGGCAGCTACTTTTCGTGCTGTCGAAAGCAGCTTTGAAATCGACGAAGAGGTGGTGAGTGTCGATTCTCCTTATCAGCCACACTGATAAGGTGCAATCAGCTTGTTGACGGTGGGCTTCGATCTTTCACACAATACGCTCGATAGAACCTCATATGTAATGTTGAGGAGACTGGGATACCCCTGTAGTTCGMGCAGATTGTGGGGTATCTTTTTTTATGGACTGGGCATATCACACTTAAGTTCCAATCGCTGGGCATGCTTTCGTCCGACCATATTTTACAAAGAAGCTGATGCATGCTCCTTATCTGTTCTTGGCCGCCGTGTTTGAATAGCTCGGCTGGCAATCCATCGGCCACCGCCGCTTTGTTGTTCTTCAGACGGGTAATTCCTATTCGAACTTCTTTATGGTCGGGCAATGTAACGTATGCTCCATCGTCATCGAATCTCTTCGTACTCACGCATTTCGGCCTCTTTCTTTTTTTTGTCTGCAAATGCGTCTCGCTTCCCTCTTCAACTCTCGGTATCTATCCCATCCCGAAGGTGTTGTGGTCGATCGTAACGTTGTGAAGTAGGCAGCCTGTTTTCTCTCCGCTGCGATACGCCATTCCTCGTCGTACCAACTGCTCTTTTGTACTTTCCGAAAACAAATGGTTTCGGTTGCAGCTGTACGTAAGGAGTTTGAAATGCCGTCCAACAGTTCCCTTATACCGAGTTGTTGACGAGTGCTCTCAGAGAGCGGGAGTGCAAGCCGAGTAGAAAATCGTTCGGCTGTCTTTTGTGATTGTAGCTTCTCGACGTCCAACCTTTCTTGTGTTTGATGGCGTGCGTATTTTGCTGCAACAAGATAGTGGTCTGAGTCGATGTTTGGACCTCGGAGCACACTCACATGTAAAACACTGGAGACGTGTCTTCCGTCTATCACAACATGATCGATCTGGTTGGTGGCTTTTCGATCCAGAGACAGCCAGGTAGTGCCAAATATACCTTCTTTGCCCACCCTGTCGCCAAGCACGATTTTGACATTGTGGCGGGGGCAGCTCTCATAAGTGCTTTCCAAGCACTCATAAAAGGCATCTTTGGTCACATCGTCCTTCTCTTCCGTCGGGGCGTGGGCGCAAATCA